CAAAACTCAGTCCCCTTTTCCATGGCGGTCTTCCTTTGTTTATCAATCCAAACTCAACTCAGTCCGTGTCTGCAAAACTACATCAATCCAGAAGTTTAATAAATTACATTTCTAAAAAGCAATCTTTATTAGTTTTTCAAATTAATATACAGAGGATGCCTGGATCTAACTTAACTTATTGATTAAAAAAAGACCAAGAAGGATTATTATAATCCGAATATCATTGACCTTTATTAATATGCAAAGATATTTAATTAGTTTGTCAGTAACACACTCTTCGATATGTCTCCCACGAGCTCACCGGATTATTTACTGACCACAAGAAAAATCTTTTTTGAGAGCAAAATGTACAAGAAACCAAAGATACTTGATTGAAACCTCTGATCAGAAATGCAAAGGAAGGATTTCATATCATTTCTTCTTCATGCAAGTGTCAAAAATTGCTGAACTCGCATACTGGAAACTTGAAATCCAATCCTCGTATATAATTTGAGAACTTATAACAAGGTTCAATAGTGTACACTGTGGTGTCTTGGAGAGAGAATATACCTGACTATACGCATGCCTGCGCCGTGTCAAGCTGGGATAAGAAAACGTTTATTCTTCCTCTGCCTGAGTGTGTAAATGAATGGCTACAACTGATTCAACTTTGGAATCATTCGGACCGCATGTGAAGTCTTCTCGATCCACTGACTCCAGCAAAGGTCAAGATGTGGAGATTCCAGCTCGAAAATCACCTGCGACGATTTTCAACAAATCTGAGTGATGGAAAGATGCAATGGAGAATGTAACAGATGTTGGGATATCAGTCCCACATCCAAAGTTTAGACATGAATTGTCTAGCATATAAGTAATGTTCAACTCCAATTAGTATGAGGCCTTTTGAGAAGGAGCCCAAGAACAAATCCGTGCGGGCTTTGCCTCTGGGCCCAAAACGGACAATATCATACTAATGGGGGAGTTGGACATGGACTTTAAAATCTTCAATAACAGAGTCTTTCATGTCCAAACAAGAAACTGGTTTCATTCCTCTATCTTTACTCCTAAGTCCTAAACTAACAAAACGGGTCATATCTCTCATGTTCTTGTTGACATACCACTGAATTTTGGCCAGGCTTAAGTAGTGGCGCAGGAACGTAGAGGTTGCATTGTGGTCCAACAGACTGTAACAAGAAACATTTGTAAGAGAAACTTCAAGATACTCTTTACATTGGATAAGGCTTTTTAGGACAGAGATTTACCGGCCAATATCTTCCAATGTTGAATTTATTGACGAAAGCAACTCCTTTACCCCAACCGTTGAATGATAGATATGTGTCTTTGATTTCTTCTACACTGTTGAAGTGTTGATAGAGAACTCACCAGCAAACATAGCAGGTTCCTTTTGACCGACATCTGCAGCAATTAATTTCATTCGAGTCTCTCTACTGGTATAAATTTGAAGACATAATAAAAGCAAATTTGGAGAGTGTAGGAGACCGGAGATTCCATCACTGCATTCTTAACTTAACCAAGGGTATGCTGAAACAAACAAAAAAACAGAGCACTGACGTCTAAGATACTCTGTATATTGGATGAGTATATGATAAGCCTACCATAGATTCCAAATTTTTAAAACTAGAATATCACATAAAATCTGGCATACAAATCACCAATTTTAAAGAGAAAACGCTAATATATGCTGATGTATTCTAGAAACACTGGTC